GTATCTCGCATCTTTCCATGGTTGCTTCATCTGGGGTTGGAGAAAGGGACCCACATTGGAGCACTGGAGTGAGCTCCCAGGGTCCAGTTGAGGGGCTGAGGGAAGCAGAGGATGAGCAAGAAGGTCAGGGCAGAGAGGGGTTGGTCCACTCACAGAGACAATGTCCCTGATCTAATGGGAGCTCACCAATTCCATCTGGACTGGGACTGAATGAGGCTATGGTCAGGCTGAAATCTCTGGGCATGAGTGATGGTGAGGGCTGGCGGAGAAGCCATTGATAATGTCACTGGGACTTGTGTCTGCTGGATGAACTGGCTTTTTGGGATTCTGGTCTATTTGGATGCTTGCGTCCATGGGACTGGATGGATGGGGGAGGGCCTTGGACTTCCAACAAGATGGGGTATCCTGGGACTGGAGGGGGAGGGAGGAGGATAGGTCAGGAAGTACGGGGAGGGGGTAGGTGGAAATTTTGGAATGGAAAAATTAAAAAAAAATGAAAAATAAAATAAAAAATGTCAAAAAAAAAGAAAGAAAGAAAGCCTAAGTTAGTTTTCCATGCTACCACTCTTTTATTTCTTCTGGGTCATCAAGGTTGTGGTAAAGAACTTAGATCAACCACTCAAACCACACTGGTACTGACATGTTCATGAGACTCAGCAGTTAGAACACTGGTGACTCATCCACGGGGACCAACCTTGATACCCAGCACCCACAACTGTATATACTTCCAGTCAGAGGTGATTAGACACTGTCTCCATGTCTACGTCTAAAGTAAACTTCATTCTTTTTGAAGATAACAGGCACGCAAAGAAAACCTATTATAAATAAAGAATCACATACAGACCTTTCTGTTCAGCATTTGCATATCTTGTGCCATAAGAAGCCAGAATAATGTACCACATATTCAGGACCTACAATTACATGGAGTTCTGACCAATCTGAAATGTGGGATAGGAATCACACTTGGGTACCCAAGAGAACCAGTACTCCTGAGACCACTCTCCAGTTCCCATATGTCATGATAATGCTGATGGTGAAGGTGTCCCAGTTTCCTTCTGTCTCTTGTCTCTTGAAAGATAACATCACCTCTAGATGGTTGTCAAAGGATCTAATAGACTGAATGTGAATGGAATTTCTATATTGCTTCTTATCTTCATTGATAAAACAGATCTCCTTATGTGAAAAGATAAAAAACTTGGTTAAAATAAACCTGAGTCAAGCCAGATTTGATTAGAAAAAGTCCACATAGCCAGGGATTTCAAGAATTCATGATGGGGAACAAGTTGACCTCAAACTTACTGTGGTGGGCCCCACACATACTCCTGTGTGCTATGATTATAGCCATACACCTCTAAGTCCAGCTGAAATAGGTATTTTTAAAGGACTTATCATTGAATCAGAGAAAGAAATAAGATTTAGAGGGAGCACCATTGTTTTCATGATGAGCAATATTTCTTGAAATTCTATAATATGAACAGCCAAATCATTTTGTATGTTCTCAATAATGGGTTATTTTCTTTGCATTGTTAATTCCATCCATTTTTAAATGTTTGAAGTGTGTTTGTGTGAATACACCTGTGCCATGATGTGTATGTAGCACTGACAGGAAAACTAACAGGGGTCTATGATCTACTTCCACTTCGTGAGTTCTAGTGATGATACCTAGGGAACCATTTGGCTGCAAGTGACCTCAATGGCACTTCTTTGTATTTAAAAATTATTCATCAATGAGCTCATATAGAAGTTTGCACATGGAAGCACCCAAGTGAAAATATGGGAAACAACTGTAGAAGTCTTATCGGTAACCCAGAGATAGAACTCAGGTTCTCAGAATTAGCAGCAATGAACTTTACTAAATGAGACAATTCTATGCCATATAATTTATCTTCTAAGAAAGAGTTATAAATATATATTTAGCCTTCAGAATGAACAAATTAGAAATGTATGGTAGTATAAATAAGTACATATGCAAAGATTTATTATTCAAGATATCCTGGGTCCTTATACCCTTGAATGAATTTACATTTACAATCTGAAAGACAATAATTTACTGATGTACTATTTCTTCAAATCAAATTTGATCATCACTGATATAGTTCTGTGGGAAGAAACTGTGTATACTAGGCAAGAAACCCAACATTCATCCCAGCAGAACATCAAGCTATGGTATGAGATACACAACTGATTGCTGATTATTTTACTTTATTATATCAATATCATATAAATGAAAATATTTTTTGAATACACACATGAGGTATTTAATGTTTCTTATAATCACATTTTTCAGTCATTTTAGCATTAACATTGTTAAATTGTGTTGAGAAAACAGAACACATTGGGAGTTCATGATCTACCCTTGAACTTGTGCTCAGGTAGCAGACACATAAGCATCATGACTTCAAATGTATCTCTGAATCATTACTGACATCCAAGCCAGCATGAGGACCTCAAGGAATTTTGTGAAAAGATGAAAGTCAAAACCAGAAACAACTGACCACCCTTTCACTTACTTGAAAATTCCTTACTTGAAAATTATTATCAGACATGTTTTAATATTTTAATAACCAGTGGGTCACTTCAATGATGGGGATGTCATCTTATACATTACATCATAAAAATACCTATTACTAGGGAAAGGCACAATAGAAGCTGAACAAAAGCCATAGAAGGAATATAATGTATAAAAATTAAATTTTAGTAAATAAAGTTGTCACAAAATAGAACACTTTAGTACCTACCTCAAATGTTTCAAAATAGAAACCAAAATGCAATGATTTCCACCATCAATCTTGAGTGAACATGTTACATAATTTACTTCTTTCAAAGTTATGATGAAAAATAATTTTTCTTCAAGCTGAAGAAAACTTTGATGGCTAAAGTCAATAAAAATTGTTTTCTGCTTATGAGTTTGTTCCTACTTCCAAAATTCAATGTAATATGAATAGACATTAAAATATTTATAGGACTAGAATCATGTCTAGGTGACTAAGAAATCTTCATTCCAAGGACTCAGGTCAAATTTTTAAGAGCTACCTGTAATTTCTGCTACAAGAAGATGCAAGGTGTTAACGTTTTCAGAATACAGAATGCACATTAACATTCTCTCTCTCACACACACACACACACATACACATGCACATCATTACAACAAAAGCAAACTTTTAAAAAAAATTTTCACGCATGGAAATTTTTCTCCTGTAAGCATTTATTAATGTAAAAGATGAGTCCAGGCATATTACAGCTCACTTACAGAGTGTTTCTTCATGAAGTATTGGTTCATGTAAAGAGAAATCAAATTTAAACTTGAAGTAAGAGAAATAAATCCTTCTAAGTTGGTGGTATCATTTGGGAAGATTTAGGACACGCTGCACTGCTGAAGGAAATATGTCACTGAGAGTAGGCTATGAGAATTTACATTCATACACCAGTTCCAGTTCCAACACTCTGCTTCATGTGGAAGATTACAGCTTTGGGTTCTTAAGTTCCAGCTTTAGTGCCATGTCTGACACTTTTTGTCATGGCTCTTTCATGGTGATCCTGTTTTCCTCTAGAACCATGGCCTGAATTATATGCTTTTATATGTTGAAAGAGACATTATATCACAACCAAAAAGGAGGCAGTACACATCCATAAATATTTACACCTGAATTACAAATTCCATGCAGTTGAAGAGAGTATAAAATCTAAAAGGGTTACATTATTGTTCAAATTCATTTTGCAAGTCTTAAAATTCTGGAAGGAAGGATACGCTGACTACTGAAAGTTAGGCAACACCAACAGCTGTGAAAAGAAGTTTGCCCCCACTAGACATAGCAATTCTCTTTCTCTCTGAGAGAGAGTCATTACAGCTGGGCTCTGCTCCATTCTTCTATGAAAGCTTCCCAGCAGAAATGTCAGTTTCTGATCTGCTCCACTCTCCTAAGGGAGTCTCCCATAAGAGATGTCCATTGCTTCTGTGCTCTTCTGGGCTAAGTGAGTTTCCAAACAGTTATGTCAACTGTATCTCTGTTCAACTCCACTAGGGATTTCCTGATCCATTTCAGTGAAAGAAGGTGTTCATATAAATCTCAGTCAAGAGATTTATTTGGGAGGGAAGAATCCAGAGTGTGAGTTCCTCTGCAAGTTTGGAAAGAGGCAGCTGCCAACTGAATGAGCATATGACTCATATAGGGCGTCTTGGAGGCAGAGCAGCTCTAAGGAGATTTAGAAGGTGAGAATTGGTCAGATTTAAATGCCTGGGCTTGAACAAGCTCAGAGATGGGCTGGATTTTGTGCTCTGGAGTTGGTGGGTTTTGAGCTCAGATAGACAAGGGTAGATTGCATTTTTTTTGCTCTGGTTTGAGAGACAAAGCAGATTTCTTTCAGTATCCAGTTTTGATGTTTGACTGTGTTTTCAGGGTGATGCTGTATTTTTCACTAGTTCTGGAATTAGGGGCAAAGGGTTTTCCTTTGTATCTCATTTCAGTACCAGGTTGAAATTCTTACACTGGCTCTATCTCCTTCCCAAAAGACTTCATAAGATCACAAATTAGGTTTTGTCCATGAGTTTCCTGGTGCAAATAAAATAAAAGCTGGTATCATAATGCTTGAACAGATTGTTGACACAATCATTTTTTTTACAGAATAAATACTGTTGGTTAATAGACTGTAAATGTGATGGCTTAAAATTAATTTGCAATAAGAAACCCTCAGTGTCTTCTTCAGGTACCCAAAAACTTTATCAGATTGATTACACACAAAAAGTTTTACTCCTGTAAAAAGTACAAAACATTTACAACACTAAGTTTATTTTTTTCACTACATTATGATTATTCTCATGTTTTTGAAGACTATAATCCTTAAGTTTACAGTTCCTCTCCAGGATGGTTTGTTTCATGTACTTGGAGATTATTGTGACAACATATTTGCGAAACAAATCCATTCACAAGTTTCTTTCCAATCTGTGTCCTTTTCTGCATTTGAAGATGAATAAGACATGAAAAGACTTTTCCAAACTCATTTCATGCATACCTTTTTGCACCCATGTGTGTTCTTCGATGCCTTTGAAGAGCATTGTTTTGAGCAAAGACCTTATCACACTGATTACATTCATAGGGTTTCTCTCCAGTATGTGTTCTTTCATGTATTTGAAGAGCTCTGTGATGAGCAAATGTCTTACCACACTGATTACATTTATAGGGTTTCTCTCCAGTATGTATTCTTTTATGCAATTGAAGAGTATGGGGCCGTCCAAATGCCTTACCACACTGATTACATTCATAGGGTTTCTCTCCAGTGTGTGTTCTTTTATGCAATTGAAGATGATCGTGTCGTGCAAAGGCTTTACCACACTGATTACATTCATAGGGTTTCTCTCCAGTATGTGTTCTTTTATGCACTTTAAGATGACTGTGTTGAGCAAAGGCCTTACTACACTGATTACATTCATAAGTTTTCTCTCCAGTATGTGTTCTTTTATGCTCTTTAAGATGACTGTGTTGAACAAAGGCCTTACCACACTGACAACATTTATATGGTTTCTCTCCAGTGTGTGTTCTTTTATGATATTGAAGATGATCATGTCGTGCAAAGGCCTTACCACACTGAATACATTCATAGGGTTTCTCTCCAGTATGTGTTCTTTCATGTATTTGAAGATGACTGTGTTGAGCAAAGACCTTACCACACTGAATACATTCATAGGGTTTCTCTCCAGTGTGTGTTCTTTTATGCAATTGAAGATGACCGTGTCGTGCAAAGGCTTTACCACACTGATTACATGCATAGGGTTTCTCTCCAGTGTGTGTTCTTTCATGGTTTTGAAGAGTATTTTGTTGAGCAAAGGCCTTACTACACTGATTACATTCATAAGGTTTCTCTCCAGTATGTGTTCTTTCATGGTTTTGAAGAGTATTTTGTTGAGCAAAGGCCTTACTACACTGATTACATTCATAAGGTTTCTCTCCAGTATGTGTTCTTTTATGCTCTTTAAGATGACTGTGTTGAACAAAGGCCTTACCACACTGACTACATTCATGTGGTTTCTCTCCAGTGTGTGTTCTTTTATGTGATTGAAGATGATCATGTCGTGCAAAGGCCTTACCACACTGAATACATTCATAGGATTTCTCTCCAGTATGTGTTCTTTCATGTATTTGAAGATGACTGTGTTGAACAAAGGCCTTACCACACTGATTACATTCATAGGGTTTCTCTCCAGTATGTGTTCTTTTATGCCTTTGAAGATCACTCTGATATGCAAAGGCCTTACCACAGTGATTACATTCACAGGGTTTTTTTTCAGTATGTGTTCTTGTGTTCATTTGAAAAGAACTGTGATGAGCAAAGGCTTTACAACACTGATTAGATGCATGGGATTTCTCACTATAATGTTTTCTTTCATTCCTCTGAAGCTGACTATCATATGCCAAGGCTTTATCACATTGAGGATGTACTGAATATTTCTTTCCAGAATTATTTCTTTTAATCCTGCAAGTATAATTGGAACACATAAAAGTTTTACCACATTCAATACACTCATGATACTACATATCTGTATGTATTATTTTTTATAATTTAGTCTAATAGTAAACAGAATTCAGATATTAAGGTTTTATAACTTTGTTTAAACTCATGCTTTCTTCTGTAATTAAGGGTTGTTTTGCATTTTTTAAGACACTTGTCATGGTAAATTCCTTTATTATGTGGTTTAAATTTTCACCTTTACAGAAACATTTTTCAATTTGACATATTTCACATATTTGAAGACAACTGAATAACCTCAGAACAACTTTATTGCATTCTTAAACTGTCCTATACTGTAAATCATACTACATTTGCTAAGTAAACTAGGTCAATAAGAAGTATTTGCACAATTCTAGAACTCATGTGGCTTCTCTGCACTGTGACTTTTTTTATGTATTAACAGTTATGTGAGAAAACCAATTTTTTATATAGTTCAATCAATTTGAGAAAGGGTACTTAACATGGGGACTAATGCTTATCTTCTAATTGTTTTTAGAGAGAGATATGCTGTGATTTTCCATATTCCCATGCACATAGGCTTGTATTGAGAGTAATTTGTGTTATACAAGGTAAAGGAAGAATCACAAACAAAAAATTTCCACACTGAATTATCACGGTGTGACATTCTGTTCCTCATAGATGTGCAGTAGAAGTTTCTTCACAACAACTGCCACTTAACTCTAACTGCTTCTGTCACCAATCTTAATATAGTAATAAGAAGTATATGAGTAATACAAGATTTACTATGTGCTCTCGATTTATTAGAAAGTCTTGCAGATATACTTATCATCACTCCAATGTATACACATTTTGTATTATGAGTAGTAAGAAATAAATGGATTGGTGGATCTACAGAATAGCTCTCATGGTTGTATGCTTCAAATGCTGATATCTGTTTAGCCATTTCTCATGACTTCTTAATTAAAAAAAATGCCTTGAAAATATAATTCAACTACATGAAATTCTATATGGATTTTTCAGAAGTTAATAATCATAAATGCACTTAAAGCTGTGCTTATTCACACTGTTGCTTTTATTTAAATCTTCTAGGACACATTATCATTTTATTAGAGGATCATTATTTTCAGCATGCATAAGAAAATTACCTTTCATGTCTTCTAGAATGTTGACAATGTTCTTTACTATTATGTTCTTCCCAAATGTATCCTAAAATGCAGTACCAGAAAATGTATGTTATAATATTGAATACTATGCATTATTTAAGTAACTATTTTAACTAAACCTTAGAACCATTTTGATTTATTTACCTCATTCTTATTCTCCTTTCTAAATCAAATTATTTTTTTCTCATTTTTTTTTTGTTTTTTCGAGACAGGTTTTCTCTGTAGCTTTTGGTGCCTGTCCTGGAACTAGCTCTTGTAGACCAGGCTGGCCTCAAACTCAGAGATCTGCCTGCCTCTGCCTCCCGAGTGCTGGGATAAAAGGCGTGTGCCACCACTGCCCAGTTTAAATCAAATTATTGAAGAACATCATTAACCAAGAAAAAGCTGTCCCTTTATTTTGAAACAAGAAGGAAATTAATTTTTACCTATAGTAGTGAGGTTCCTGTAGGTCTCCAGCATCACATCTTTGTAGAGATTCTTCTGGGAAGGATCCAGCAAATTCCACTCTTCCCAAGTGAAGTTGATATGCACATCATCATAGGTCACTGCCTTCTAAAATATGCCATACATGATAGTGACATGATAGTGACACCATTGTAAATGTATACTTCTTTGATAGTATAGTCATAAAATTCTGGTATTCCCTAGTCATATTCTAAGACATAGACACTCACTTTAGAAGGAAAGTGTATAGGAGAGTCATCTCTGTCATTTCTTTACTCTTTGAATGAGATATCACCTTACATGTGAAATATCTATTAGCAAAGAGAAACAAGAAAACATATCAACAGTATATAGTACACATGAGAAAATTTTATGAAGATTAACTAACTACAAATAGAAAAATAAGTTGGACAACCTGGTTGTATTGACTCATGCCTTTAAGCTCAGAACTTCAAAAGCAGAGGCGGGTATATTTTTCCCTGAGTTAAATGCCAGACAAGTCTATGCAATAAGGTCCAGGAAGGTGAAAGTACATAGTAAAACCCTGTCTTCCAGGAAGTGGTGGTGCATGCCTTTAATCCTAGCAATCAGGAGGCAGAGGCAGGTTGGTCTCTTTGAGTTTGAGGACAGCCTGTACTTTGAGAGATAGTTCCAGGACAGGCTCCCAAGCTACAGAGAAACCCTGACTCAAAAATCAAGTAAACAATAAACAAAAAACAAACAATCAAAAAGACACTGTCTACATTGCAAATATCTGTGAATCAAGCAAGAAAAATAGAGGAACTCAGAGGTTTTTACTGGAGTTCCTACAAAGAAATATGCATTCACTCCACTTCTCTATTTATCTTCCAAACATCCGAAGTGCCCTAATTTAAATTGTAATGCCAATAACATTTTACAAACAGCGCTTTATGTTTAAACAGTTACAAATGGACAGATGAAAACATTAGCAATATAAATCTTGGGCATAAGTAATAAACACAAGCTGGGAGAGGGATGACTGAGTAGTACCTAGCTTTTAATGGTCTTGAATAGATGTGGCAGAATTGCCAATACTTATTTGGGAATCATAACTATCCATTATTCCAAGTTCACAAATTCTGTGATCCTTTGATCATGTTGAGGACCAGGTACTCATGTGGTCCATAGTCATGCCGATACATCAAATTGTTATATTAATTTTAAAAATGTAAAGTAAGCATAACAAGCAGGAAGAAGTTCAAGCACCTACAATTCAATGACTCTGAATACTTAGGCAGTACTAATGTCACACCTACTGAAAGACTTCCAGACCCCAAAATGGGGAAAAAAGCTACTTCTATCATAGCCAACACAGACCAGAATACCAAAGAGCAGATAGAAACCAAGGAATAAACGTGCATCCAACAAAGACAAACAGAGATACTGGCACCTAGACCTGCAGTCACCTCAGACCCAGACACCTGACAAGAGCACAATAACATGATCAACAACAGACAGAACAATATGTCACTACCATATTCCAACTCTCCTACTACAGCACACCCTGAATATTCAAACCCAGTCAAAGTACAATTAAGTTAGATCAACTATGTAGATGTTTTATGTCCTTAAGAAAGAAGTGAATGAATTTTTTAAAAAAAAGCAAAGGAAGAGGCGCTTTGTTTACGAGCTACCCATCTAGCACTGAGATCTGACCTGGGCACCAGGAGAGCCATCACCAGGGTGAATGAGTTTCACCTGCAGCAGGAGCCCTAGACATGGAACTCAGACATTCCTCATCCCCCTATACTTCCTGGACTTCCTGCAGGGGCTATACTCCCCAGATACTGCCTCTCTCTTTCTATCCCACCCAGCTTGCATCCAGAACCCCCCCTTCTGCCTCCCTCCCCTCTTCAGGCACATTACATCACCCAGCTCAGCCTGTTTGGGCTCTGGGTCCAAATCGTGAGGGCAACCAGGCAGACAGGAGTTCCTTTGTCTCAAGAGCCTGCCTGCAGCAAGAAAGGTAGGCGCTTTGTTTACGAGCTACCCAACCAGCATGGAGATCTGATCTAGGCACCAGAAGAGCCATCATTGGAGAGTGCCACCACTGGGAAGGTACATCAGTGGGCAAGGAGACCTGGTCCTGTAAAAGAAATTCCATAGGGGAGCATTTGGAGGAAGAGATGGGCAGGTGCCAATGCAAGAATTCACCCAACAATCTGAAAAACAACATGAAACCACCAGAACCCAGTGACCTCAAAACAGGAGGACATGAACACCTTAATCAAGAAAAAGTAGAAAAAAATTGACTTTATGAAAGTGATTGACACCCTTAAACAGCGTGTAAAAAAATGCCCTTATAGAAATGGATGAGAAGTATAACAGAAAGTTTGAAGAATTGAATAAATCAGTGAATGATACCCTAGGAAACCAAGGAAAAATAATCAAACAGATAATGGAAACAGTTCAAGACTTGAAAACTGAAATGGAGGGAAGGAAGAAAACACACACAGAGGGCCGGATGGACATGGAAAATTTAAGTAAACAAACAGAGACTACAGAAACAAACATAGCCAACAGAATACAAGGGATAAAAGAAAGAATCTTAGATTCTGAAGATATCATAGAGAAAATAAATGCTCTGATCAAAGAAAACAGCAAGTCCAACAAACTCGCATCACAAAACATTCAGGAAATCTGGGACACAATAAAAAGATCAAACCTAAGAATAATAGGAGTAGAAGAAGGAGAAGAGTCACAGTTCAAAGGCCCAGAAAATATTTTTAATAAAATTATAGAAGAAAACTTTCCCAACCAAAGGAAAGATATACCTATGAAGGTTCAGGAAGCAAACAGAACACTGAATAGGCTGGATCAAAAAAAAAATCCCCTCACCATATAATAATCAAAACACAAAGCAAACAGAATAAAGAAAGAATATTAAGGGCTGCTAAGGAAAAGGCCAAGTTACTTATAAAGGTAAACCTATCAGACTTACACCTGTCTTCTCCATGGAAACCATGAAAGCCAGAAGGTCCTGGATAGATGTACTGCAAAAACTGAGAAACCATGGATGCAAGCCCAGACTACTATATCCAGCCAAGCTTCCGTTCACTATAAATGGAGAAAACAAATTTTCCAGGATAAAAACAAATTTAAACAATATTTAGCCACAAATCCAGCCCTACAGAAAGTAATAGAAGGAAAATCACTAACCAAGGAGTCCAACAATGACCACAATAACTCAGACATCTAGAGACCCTTCACCAGCAAAACTCAAAGAAGGAAAACACACAAACCCTACTACTAAAAAAGTGACCGGAGTTAACAACCACTAGTCATTAATATCACTTAATGTCAATGGACTCAACTCACCTATAAAAAGGCACAGGAGAAGAGATTGGATATGAAAACAGGATCCAACATTCTGTTGTTTACAAGAAACACACCTCAACCACAAAGACAGGCACCTACTCAGAGTAAAGGGCTGGGAAAAGGCTTATCAAGCAAATGGACCTAAGAAACAAGCAGGTGTGGCCATACTAATTTCTAACAAAGTTGACTTCAAACTTAAATCAATCAGAGGAGTCATTGCCAAATTCCTATTATGAAGCTACAGTTACTCTGATACCAAAACCACACAAAGACTCAACCAAGAAAGAGAATTACAGCCAATCTCACTCATGAACATCAACGCAAAAATCCTCAATAAAATACTGGCAAACCAAATCCAAGAACACATTAGAAAAATTATCCATTATGATCAAGTAGGCTTCTTCCCAGAGATGCAGGGCTAGTTCAACATATGGAAATCTATCAATTTTTTTTTTTTTGATTTTGCGAGACAGGGTTTCTCCGTAGCTTTTGGTTCCTGTCCTGGAACTAGCTCTTGTAGACCAGGCTGGCCTCGAACTCATAGAGATCCGCTTGCCTCTGCCTCCCGAGTGCTGGGATTAAAGGCATGCGCCACCTCCGCCCGGTGGTGGGAAATGGGAGGCTGGGAGGAGGCCGAAATTTTTTTTCAATAAAAAATAAATTAAAAAAAAGAACAATTAGTAAACCATAATTTCAGTTCCCCCAATCAAACTGTAGTGATCTCAACACTGGCTTTGTATTGTTGCATGTTTTTTAAGTAGTAGCACATTCTTTGTTATGTTTTTATTTGTTGTTGTTGATTTTATTTATTCATTTATTTTTGTTTTTTTCGAGATGAGGTTTCTCTGTACCTTTGGTGTCCATCCTAGAACTAGCTCTTATAGACCAGGCTGGCCTCAAACTCACAGAGATCCACCTGCCTTTGCCTCCTGAATGCTGAGTTTAAAGGCCTGCACCACCACCGCCCGGCTGAGTTATGTTTTTTTTTAGAAGTATCATATTCTTTGAGTTTCATCCCACATCATTTCAATAGATAATGTTTACAATAAATATTATTATGAATTTCAGTTTATATGATGTAAGATCAGAGAAGTTACCTAAAATAATAGGCAATGTTATAGTGAAACTACAAGTTAAAAAACAATAAACTCAATAGATTGGAAATAAGTGATATAATAACCACCTTTGCTTTATACAATCAAAGAAACTGAATATCCCACATTAGCTGCTCGAACAGATCAGTGGCAATGCTGGGTGTGCTCTCTGGTCTTCTAGTTGGCACCTGTCTAGTACATCCCCTTCAAGTTACTTCTAAATCTCAGGTTTATTTAAAATTAGCTATCATTTATTATATTTAAGTTAACCTTATATTGTGTGTGTCTATTGGTTATAGAAAGAGAAGATATAAAAAGAAGGATACTAGTCAGAACTAAATGTGATGATAACACCCGTTCCATTCATAGTTTGTGAGATATGTATAGTTCATTAACCTTACAAAAAAGGTTTAATAAGCCGGGCGGTGGTGGCGCACGCCTTTAATCCCAGCACTCGGGAGGCAGAGGCAGGCGGATCTCTGTGAGTTCGAGACCAGCCTGGTCTACAAGAGCTAGTTCCAGGACAGGCTCCAAAACCACAGAGAAACCCTGTCTCGAAAAACCAAAAAAAAAAAAAAAAAAAAAAAAGGTTTAATGATATAGCAATTAATATTTGACAAAAATGAAATTATATATCCTATAGGAAAATACATCAGATATCTTGCAAATTTTGTT